TAAAAAAAAGATAGCAACAGCAAGACTCACAGAGGCCATATGAGGAACCATCATAGCGGCGACCGACCCAAATGGGACTCAAATGCTCCGAACACTTGCTGTAATGTATTCATTAGATCAAGCAAGACTCACAGAGGCCATATGAGGAACACAGCGGCGACCGACCCAAATGCGACCAGTGTGGGAAGACGCACTCTCCGAAAGAATATTATATTAATTAGATCGTCATTTGGTCATTTTCGTCTCCATACCATGTAGTAGCTCGATCCTCTATAATGTAGAGGCAAATGGAGGACTTGGCCTATACCCCAGTCGACAATGAAGAATGTTCACTAATTTTATTTTTTAGCTTTCTGTATTCTCTGTTAAAAATAAAAAATACACGTGAAAGAATTATTTCGATACGTCAATTAGTTTCCAAGATATTGAATTTTAAAAGTGCGGGCGGCGGCCGGCCCGCCATTTTATGCGCGTGACGTCATATTACAACGACTGGCTCATATTTGTATGGGAAGAATCTTGCAAACTGAATTAAGACCCACTTCCAGGCAACCGATTAAGCTGAAATTTCGCAAACACATGTGATTTGGATGACCATGCAATATTATGATGACATGGAGCTGATCTGATGATGGAGCTGGAAGGTGGCCATAGGAACTCTATAATAAAACGACTTAAATGCATCGAGTTTGGGCTTGTTCGTTTTGTATTGATGAGTATTTTAATTCTATATAGTAATCGGGGTCTAATGATGGAGCTGGAAGGTAATTCGCAATAAAACGACACAATCGCATCAAGTTTGGGTTTGGTTTAATTTTAATTTCTGTGATGGGTCTGGGTGTTAATATGTATAATAAGTTTGTATTTACAAAAAAAAAATATTTAAGTATGTTTATATCCGTTTTCTAGTGAGCGGACGCTGTGAATGTACGTCACACGGGGTCACGTGACCGTCGGCGGGACTCAATATTTAAGCGAACTTTGAATGCCTATAAAATCATAACTACTGGGTATTTTTGAATGAAATAAAAACTAATGTATTTGTAAATGTAAAAGCTTAACTGTAACATAGGTTTCAAGTGATTTTGCATACCTAGTAACATTCTCAATTGGTTATTTGAAATTACCAATGTTACGAACGGCCTCCTTTTAATAGTCTATGTTTTTATAATTTTATTTTTTACTATGAGTTGTCAACTTGTCAGCGGTCTGCTTAGTTCGATATCCCTGTGATCCTGTATCTTCCTTGATTCCTTAATATAGCGCTTTCCCAGAGCCCGGGTATCATTTTCACTCCTTTTTATCCCAATTCCTAACAACCAATAATATACTATTCTAAAAAAATCGATTTATCGATTTTAACAGTTGATTACAGAGTTTATTGCAACAATTTTAAACGAATACATAGACAAAACATTCCATAGAGTTAAGGATAAACTAAAGTTTATTTGGTGTTGTCATTACACAAATTAAAACTTTCTTAAATTATTTGAAAAGAAAACCAAGTCTGTGACAGGAAGTGGCATTGAATAAAGCTGTGATTTTTTTAGTTAGTCTTATAGTGAAATAGTGACCAGCACTGGCCCATTTATTGTCCCGAAGCAGTGGTAGGGTTAATACTGGGACGTGTAAAAGAGCTTTTTAAAAGCCTACTTACAAAAATAAATGAGTTTTATTATATTTATTACTATGTTTACGAAACTGCCAGTTTCTAAATGACGTGAGTTAAACCGCCATATTTTCCCACAGAATACACCAAGGCGTCAAGAACTTCGAGTGTCCCACGTGTGGGATGCGGTTCCGGACGCGAGCCCAGATAAAACACCATCAGCTGAAACACAGTGACATTAAGGACTATTACTGCGTGGAGTGCGACGTCAAGTAAGATTTTTGTGAACACAATGGGTGTTTATAACCCAGAATAATACCAGGCCTGCTCATCTCCGCGAGTTTACATCGAAAACAAAACACGCACGATGGCCCACCTACAGGATACTATTCGATAAGGCCTCACATACGAGCGAACATTGACTCACGCACGCGTATTCTTGTGTATGATGGAAGAAAATAAAGAAAATGGTGTACTAAATACTGTGCGGTATTTAACTGCCTAAATAATAATAAAAACACAGAATGTACTTTTTTAAGTTGCCTCAAGACACTGAGAGGTAAATAAGTAGTTAATATTATTCATGATAATTCATGCTAAATCATGTATTTCCTCCGCCATTTTCTGCAGATTGGCACCTCACGTCACATCATTTTACCGAAGTCAGCCCTATAGCTTCGGCGCAGTACCGATCACTGACGTTTGTCAACAAAACTTCTGACAAACTTGCTTGACTCTTGAGACAAGCTAAATTACACCATATTGTTAATGACATTGAGCATACATTTTTTTAAATACCTTCGCGAAGTAAAACTTCTGTACGTAGTACTTATTATTATTCTGTGATAATACAGCCGTGGTCAGGGAGTTGACGCTCAAAGCTAAAATTTAGATTCCTTACATCAAGGTTTTCCTTACATTTGCTTAGTTTAGAAGATAGAGTTAGTTTTGTGATTTATCCTAAACTATCGCCTATGGTTGGTTTTTAATTTTTTCCTCACTCTGGCGAGCACTTGCAGTTTGCTTTTACTTACTTACGCTAGAGAAGCGTCCAGAGTGAGAAAAAAATTAAACCAACCTTAGGGGATAGTTAAGGATAAATCACAAAATTAACTATAGTCCGGTCGCCGAGCTTGTAGGATTTCGTCCAATGACCCCAAGCTACCCACCCTTATCGCTCGCGCGTAATTATATTGCTGTCGCGACTGTGCGACGCGCGCCCGCAGTGAGTGTGCGAGCGCGACAGCAATATAAACTAAACAAAATCGTAGAACATACATGGGGTGATTTAGATACACTTTGATGTAAGGAATCTAAATTTTAGCTTTGAACGTCAACTCCCTGGCCATCCTGTATGTTGCTTTCATAATAATATGCATGGTGAGGTTAACTTTTTGGAGGAAGCAGTTAAAAGACCTTCAGCTTATTTTTTTTGTATCAAAGTATCTCATGTTGATAGCCCTATAAATAAGTAAATGTTTAACATTTTTATCTTTCTTTTTGACAGATTCAAATCGTCGCACACCTTACGGCAACACTTACAGAAGAGTCTGAAACACAAAGACAAGAGGACCTTTAAGTAAGTATAAGAACAGTTTATACATACCTACTGATGCATAAAAACCATCCAGTATCATACCTGTCATGTCTTACTTAGGCCCGATTTGACCAAACTTTTGTCCGAGAATAACTCCTGGTATAACTGACACATTGACAGTTTCAGTATGGGAAATATTAGTCCAGTAGAATTAGCTTTTAAATCGGAAATAATTCCTACAAAAGATTTTATTGTTTTAATGGCTTCATTGGTTGCCCATTAAGACTCTCCTAAGTTTTCGACTTCGACGGAGTTGTGCTTAAGTGGTGGGGGCCCCCGAAAGAGGCATTTTTTCGGTTTTCCGGTTATACCGCGTAAAGGACTTACCCTATCAAAAAGTGGTCTTCATGACGGTTGAAGGGCACTTAATCCTGCATTGAATAAGACCAAATTCATATATTTTGGACAAACCGTTCTCGCGCTAAAGTTCGGCAAAGTAGAAAATATACGTATAATTAATGACCCTCTCCACGTCCAATGGTTTGTTACCCACAGGCTTCCAAGTCTTGAAAAGGGCCACCTCAACCAGTGTAACCCTATCAAGGCTTACGAGCTTGATGCGCCTATCCTTGTTCGTCCCAGCCGTTCCTTAACTGCGGTTGCTGCACCTCTTCCTGGCACTCACCTGAACGACTCTGTGTTACCTACTGTGGCTGCCCCTCTTCCTTGTATCCTCCTGCATGACTACGTTGCCTAGCCGTATGCCTGGTCTAAGGTTCGACGCCAAAAATCAACAACAACAAGTTCATATTAAAACGCTGAAGAGTTTTTTGTTTGTTTGTTTGAACGCGCTAATCTTAAGAATTACTAGTTTGATTGAAATCATTATTTTTGTGTTGAATAGCTCATACATTGAGGAAGGCTATAGGATATATACAATCACTCTACGACTAATAGAGGCGAAGCAGTAAAGAAAAATGTTGCAAGCACGGGAAATAGTATTTAAACTATTTTCACTCGTACGAAGTTGATTTTGTGGCGTCGAACCTTGGACCAGGCATATGGCTAAGCAATGAAATCGTACAGGAGGGTACAAGGAAGAGGGGCAGCCACATTAGGTAACACAGAGTCGTTCAGGAGAGTGCCAGGAAGAGGTGCAGCAACCGCAGTTAAGGAACGGCTGGGACGAACAAGGATAAGCGAATCAAACTCGTGAGCCTTGTTAGGGTTACACTGGTTAAGGCGACCCTTTACAAGGCTTGGAAGCATGTGGGTAACAAGCCATTGGACGTGGAGAGGGTCATTAATTATACGTATATTTTCTACTTTGCCGAACTTTAGCGCGAGAACGGTTTGTCCAAAACATATGAATTTGGTCTTATTCAATGCAGGATTAAGTGCCCTTTAACCGTCATGAAGACCACTTTTCGATAGGGTGAGTCCTTTACGCGGTATAACCGGAAAACCGAAAAAACGCCCCTTTCGGGGACCCCCACCACTTAAGCACAACTCCGTCGAAGTCGAAAACTTAGGAGAGTCTTAATGGGCAACCAATGAAGCCATTAAAGCATAAAAATCTTTTGTAGGAATTATTTCCGATTTAATCAATTTTTGTGTTTAATTCTACTGGCCTAATGTCAAAATGACAAGTTTATTCTGAGATTAATATTTACTCTTGTTTGGTCGTATCCACCCTAAGTAGCAGAATGCCATATTATAGTATTAAATTCGCCTTTTGTACATACTTCGGTATTATGTTTAGTAGTTAGCAAACGCAAAACGTTTTAAATAAATGAATAATAATATACATAATACTATTTGTAAATACAATGTGAAACTTCATAAAGTTAAAACTTCATTATGAAAATGGGCGAAACTAGACCCATTTTTATCGTAAGAAAACATTTCATAAAAATCTTATTTTACATTTTTGTTTTTATTTCTATTCTAACTTGCCTTGTTCTTATAAAAATTGCAATTCTAGAGCCACTCATAGTAACGAAGCTTTGAATGGCGTGCAAACGTCGTGATAGGAATAAAGCCATGAGATTTTCCTGACAAATTCATGTCTGATTTTTACCCGACTGCACCAGAAGGAGGGTTATGTTTTTCGAGTGTATGTATATTTCTTTGGCACGGCCTACAGCCTAAACGGCCTAACCGATTTTAGCGTGAGAGGTGTCGTTAGATTCGTCTTAATCGTGAGAATGATACATCACCAACAAAAGAATTAGTCAATTATGCCTTCAACTGCATTTGTGAACACTTAGGCCCAGAACACACGGTGAAACGCAATTGCAACGAAACAGCAACTTCTAGTTACTTTTGAGTTGCATCTAAGTTTCTGCCATAGATTCCGTTGAGAGACCACACATGACGCAACCGGTTTGAAATGGTTATCTTTTTAGTTCATTTTTTTCGCAGAATTTTTGTTTATTCATGTATTTTCCTCCAGTTTCCAATGCACCCGATGCGACAAACGTTTCGAGACGGAAGCAGCTCTTCGCTCCCATACCCTCATCCAACACGAGGGCGTTAGAGGACATCGCTGTACGGACTGTCCTGCAGCGCTGGCTTCAAGGAGTTCCTTATTGAAACATATACACAGCGTGCACAGGGGGATCAAACCTGCGCTTAGGCACGTCTGTGACACTTGCGGGAAGGCTTTCCGGGTAAGTTAGAGTGTGAAAAGTGGTTGTTTTTAGGGTGAGTCCAGGGGGAAAGGCAAGAAAAGTGGTCGCTCCATGGGTGACTCAAAGGGAGAAGCGAGAAAAGTGGTCGCTCCTTGGGTGAGTCAAGGAGAAAAGCAAGATAATTGGTCGCTTTTTAGTGTGAGTCTAGGGGAAAAGGGAGCAAAGTGGTCGCTCCTTGGGTGAGTTAAGGGGAGAAGCGAGACAAATGGTCGCTCTAGGGGGTAAGTCAAGGGGAAAAGCGAAAAACGTGGTCGCTTTTTAGGGTGAGTCCAAGAAAAGAGCTACAGGTGGCGTTAAGCGCCAAATGACATGAAATTCCTAGAGCACAGGGGACTAAGAGAAATAGCTCTTCGCTCCCATACCCTCATCCAACACGAGGGCGTTAGAGGACATCGCTGTACGGATTGTCCTGCAGCGCTGGCCTCAAGAAGTTCTTTGCTAAAACACATCCATAGTGTACACAGGGGGATCAAACCTGCGCTTAGGCACGTCTGTGACACTTGCGGGAAGGCTTTCAGGGTAAGTTTTGTAAAGATAAGTGGTCGCTTTTTAGTGTGAATCAAGGGGAAAAGTGAAAAAAATGGTCGCTCTTTGGGTGAGTTAAGGAGGGTCGCTCCTTGGGTAAGTCAATGAGAAAAGTGGTCACTTCTTGGGTAAGTCAAGGTGAGAAGCGAGATATTGGTCGCTCCATAGGTGAGTCCAGGGGAAAAGCGAGCTTAGAGTCAGACCAGGTAGCATTAAGAGCCAAATGATATGACATTTTTAGCTATACTAAGGGAGAGAGCTCTTCGATCACATACCCTCATCCAACACGAGGGCGTTAGAGGACACCGCTGTACGGACTGTCCTGCAGCGCTGGCCTCAAGGAGTTCCTTATTGAAACATATACACAGCGTGCACAGGGGGATAAAGCCTGCGCTTAGACACGTCTGTGATACTTGCGGGAAGGCTTTCAGGGTAAGTTAGAGTGAGAAAAGTGGTTGTTTTTAGGGTGAGTCCAGGGGGAAAGGCAAGAAAAGTGGTCGCTCTTTGGGTGACTCAAGGGGAGAAGCGAGACAAATGGTCGCTCTAAGTCAAGGGGAAAAGTGGTCACTTCTTGGGTAAGTCAAGGTGAGAAGCGAGATATTGGTCGCTCCATAGATGAGTCCAGGGGAAAAGCGAGCTTAGGGTCAGACCAGGTAGCATTAAGAGCCAAATGATATGACATTTTTAGCGAGAGAGTCTCTATACTAAGGGAGAGAGCTCTTCGTTCCCATACCCTCATCGAACACGAGGGCGTTAGAGGACACCGCTGTACGGACTGTCCTGCAGCGCTGGCCTCAAGGAGTTCCTTATTGAAACATATACACAGCGTGCACAGGGGAATAAAGCCTGCGCTTAGGCACGTCTGTGACACTTGCGGGAAGGCTTTCAGGGTAAGTTAGAACGAGAGAAATGGTCGCTTTTTAGGGGGAGTCCAGGGGCAAAGGCAAGAAAAGTGGTCGCTCTTTGGGTGACTCAAAGGGAGAAGCGAGAAAAGTGATCGCTTTTTAGGGCAAGTCGAGGTGGCTTTAAGCGCCAAATGGCATGAAATTCCTAGAGCACAAGAAACAGCTCTTCGCTCCCATACCCTCATTCAACACGAGGGCGTTAGAGGACACCGCTGTACGGACTGTCCTGCCGCGCTGGCTTCAAGGAGTTCCTTATTGAAACATATACACAGCGTGCACAGGGGGATCAAACCTGCGCTTAGGCACGTCTGTGATACATGCGGGAAGGCTTTCAGGGTAAGTACTTATAGAGGAAAAGCGACAAAAAGGTCTTTCTATGGGATAAGTGCAAGAGAAGATTGACAGGGGACACAACTTAGATGAGTCCAGGGGAAGAGTGACAGGGTACACAACTTAAGTGAGTCCATGTGTGATTGACAGGGGACACAACTTAGGTGAGTCCAGGTGTGATTGACAGGAGCCACGACTTAGGTGAGTCCAGGTGTGATTGACAGGGGACACGACTTAGGTGAGTCCAGGTGTGATTGACAGGGGACACAACTTAGGTGAGTCCAGGTGTGATTGACAGGGGACAAAACTTAGGTGAGTCCAGGTGTGATTGACAGGGGACACAACTTAGGTGAGTCTAGGTGTGATTACAGGGGACACTCCTTAGGTGAGTCAAGGGGAAGATTAACAGGGGACACCCCTTAGATGAGTCCAGGTGTGATTGACAGGGGACACAACTTAGGTGAGTCCAGGTGTGATTGACAGGGGACGCAACTTAGGTGAGTCCAGGTGTGATTGACAGGGCACACAACTTAGGTGAGTACAGGTGTGATTGACAGGGCACAACTTAGGTGAGTCCAGGTGTGATTGACAGGGGACACAACTTAGGTGAGTCCAGGTGTGATTGACAGGGGACACAACTTAGGTGAGTCCAGGTGTGATTGACAGGGGACACAACTTAGGTGAGTCCAGGTGTGATTGACAGGGGACACAACTTAGGTGAGTCCAGGTGTGATTGACAGGGGACACAACTTAGGTGAGTCCAGGTGTGATTGACAGGGGACACAACTTAGGTGAGTCCAGGTGTGATTGACAGGGGACACAACTTAGGTGAGTCCAGGTGTGATTGACAGGGGACACAACTTAGGTGAGTCCAGGTGTGATTGACAGGGGACACAACTTAGGTGAGTCCAGGTGTGATTGACAGGGGACACAACTTAGGTGAGTCCAGGTGTGATTGACAGGGGACACAACTTAGGTGAGTCCAGGTGTGATTGACAGGGGACACAACTTAGGTGAGTCCAGGTGTGATTGACAGGGGACACAACTTAGGTGAGTCCAGGTGTGATTGACAGGGGACAACTTAGGTGAGTCCAGGTGTGATTGACAAGGGACACAACTTAGGTGAGTCCAGGTGTGATTGACAGGGGACACAACTTAGGTGAGTCCAGGTGTGATTGACAGGGGACACAACTTAGGTGAGTCCAGGTGTGATTGACAGGGGACACCCCTTAGATGAGTCCAGGTGTGATTGACAGGGGACACAACTTAGGTGAGTCCAGGTGTGATTGACAGGGGACGACATTCCATTATTACATTCCACGACATTTTGAACTTTGTCTACCAAACTATGCGGATGCAATAAGATTCAAAATTCTTTGACAAGAAATCGCTTTCTTCAAACATTTACCGTACATTTGTCTTAATTTCGCCAGGGCAAAAGCGTCCTAACGAACCACGTGCGAACGCACACGGGTGAGAAGCCTTTCGCGTGCGCTACTTGCGGCCGTGGGTTCTCGCAGCGCACTGCGATGCTCACTCACGTCAAGCTTGTGCATATGAAGATGCGAAGACGGCATAAGGTCAGTGGGTTCTGTGCCCGGAGGGTGTTTGAAGTTAAATTGTATAATATACAGCGTATCTCAAACAACGATAAGCCAGCGCCTTAGGGGGCTTATTCCACTATTCCCCGTTGACAGATCACGCGACAAGAATTTAATATGTAAGGATCCTTATAAGACAACTTTTTTTACTAAGAATATTGTAGGCATGGCACCCAAGATTATAAATAAATTACCAAAAGACATTAGATTAATTGAACATCTAAATTCATTTAAAAAAACTTTACTGACTTATTTAATTAATAAATGTTATTATAATATATCTGAATTCTTTGACGATAAATCTAATTAGTTTATGTAACTGCCAAATTTTATTGTTGTCTGACAAATTGTATGCTCTTTGAGCGGAACATAGTGATACTACCTAATGTAACATGTCACCATTTTACCTATGATTCACAATAAATGATTTTGTATTTGAATTTGACAATCCTCGTCAAAATTACGTTAATATTAAAATCCTAATATAACGGGGATTAATGAACTTTGTAGTTCATTATTCCCAATTCTAAGTGAATTAGTGAAGGGGATTAGTGAACTTTTTGTTCACTAATCCCCATTGACGGGGATTGTCAACGGGGAATAGTGGAAAAAGCCCCTTAGGGTGGACATGGTCATGACTACTTTAGGAAAAAAAAAGAAAAAAAAAACAAGTTTCCATTTAACGTAGTCGCTAGCGAGAGCGCAAAAAAATCTATGAAGATTTTAATTCTTGAAAGTATCTTCAAGGGACACATTTAATTAAATTTTTTGAATTGTACTGACCTTTCGTATTTCTTTTTTGTTCTTATTGTGTATCGTGTACAATAAAGTGTACCTATTTATCTTATTTTTTTAAGCAGTCGCTAGTGATGACGTTTGGTATAAACTCGCACTAAGCACACTGAGCGAAAAAGCGCCTTAAATACGTTTTTCCACTTGTCTAGAAGGGCTAATGATGACTGTCGGCCGTTTGGTGTAGTGGTTCAGAACGGACTACTATGCCGAGAGGTCCCGGGTTCGATTCCCGGCCGGGCAGAAAATGAAATGGTGAATTTTAATTTCTGTGACGGGTCTGGGTGTTACTATGTATAATATGTATGTATTTAAAAAGTATATATGTAGTATATCCGTTAAACTAGGACCCATAACACAAGCATATTAATTGCTTACTTTGGGGCTAGATGGCGCTGTGTGAGATTGTCCAAAGATATTTATTTATTATTTATTTTAACTTATGATTATTGCATCGCGAAGCCGCCAGTGGCCTAATTCACGTATTTTGACAGTCAAGATCTCGTTGACGTTTAGAAGTCGTCCCATTGAAAAACAGTTCTAAATCCGTATTCACAAGGGTCATTTCGATAGGACGATCGCTCGATAGGATCGCATTCAGCGATTTGTTGTCGTTGAAGTTTTGTTACGTGAATAAGGCTACTGGGCTAGCGGTTCGCGTACTGAAACTGAAATGCCAGCAGTCGCGGGGTCAATCCCTGCACAACACAATTTTTTTGTAATAGTGAAGTGTTCTTTACTGTGTTTAAAGTCCGGTCTCCGAGCGAGCACGTAGAATTTTGTCCAATGACCCCAAGCTACCTATTAGATCCTAATCGCTCGCGCGTAATTATATTGCTGTCGCGCTCGCACACTCACTGCGGGCGCCCGTCGCACAGTCGCGACAGCAATATAATTACGCGCGAGCGATAAGGATGGGTAGCTTGGGGTCATTGGACGAAATTCTACGTGCTCGGCGACCAGACTATAAAAAAAATTGCATGTTTATAGCCGTTATTTGGTACCCACACTACAAGTTTCGCTCAGTTTGAGCTAGATGGCGTTAACATAATAATTATGTTGTTGTCCCAGTTGGATCCGGAGCCCGAGCCTCTGCCCGCCAAGGAACAAAACCTGAAGACAGAATGGCGATCAGCGCCGCCGCCTTGCGACATATACTACCACGTTACTGCCTGAATTGTAGTGAATTAGTTACTAAACATACTATTCGACACCACCACCGACCAGTGGGTCTAGACAAAATGCACTTTTTGATCGAATCGAAAACCGAATATGTCAACTCCATACCAAAAAAAAAACCTTCGACCACTTTTCGACTGGTTTGCGATTATAATGTGCACCCACTGTATTTGAACTAAATAAAAAAAACTTTCTTTCTTTCTAAATCCCGGTCTGTGAGCACGTAGAATTTTGTCCAATGACCCCAAGCTGACCTATCCTTATCGCTCGCGCGTAATTATATTGCTGTCGCGACTGTGCGACGGGCGCCCGCAGTGAGTGTGCGAGCGCAACAGCAATATAATTACGCGCGAACGATAAGGATGGGTAGCTTGGGGTCATTGGACAAAATTCTACGTGCTCGGCGACCGGCCTATAGTTACTAAATAGACTATTTGACACACATCATAGTAACTGAAGGGAGATTTGCGAAAGGGGCGTGGCCGGTGTCGCAGCAATATGCCCAAAAACAGAACACATTGCTCGTGACAGCAATGATGACAGCAGCGACGTCATAATGTAAACAGATTACATTGCTTGCGTACTAAAGATTATTTGAACGTTGAGTACTGATACCTCAGTGGATAATGAGCACATATTTTGATTACTTTGTGTGTGTGAATTTCTAATGCGACACTGAGTTTAGAACTCTCTATATCTCTAGATTTGACATAAAAAAGCTCATTTATTTTTGCAAATAGGCTTTTAAAAAGCACTTTACACGTCCCAGTGTTAACCCTACCACTGCTTCGGGACAATAAACGGGCCAGTGCTGAGAAGAAGCAGCGCAAGAAACTCAGTCACTATTGTCAGCACCAAATACCACCAATAAATTGAAGTAGGTACTTTTTAAAACTGTCAAAACGAGACTCCCATAGATTTTTTTGTCTGGCAAATTGGCAATATAAGCAAGTGACGTCGCTATTTTGTCAATTCAAACTACTTTTTTCAATGAGGGTTTTCGCGAATGAAAGATCCGCTAGATGGCGGGACGTGGATGTGGGGTCCGACTGCTGCGTGATTGGTGGATTTTGACATATCTGTCAATGTCATGTCAAAAATAACCAATCATGCAGCATTTGGACCTCGCGTCTACGTATTGCCATCTGGCGGATTTTTCATTCGCGAAAACCTTGTAATGAAGGTATGCAACCAAAAATCTTAATTTAAAATTAATTATATTTTAAGACCAGAATGAAGTGTGATTTCGAATTATTTGGGAATGGCGTCAAATAGTCTATTGTAAATAGTAGTGAATTATTTTAATTAGTGTGCCCAGCGATAAATTATTACTTGCAAGATTTTTTAATGTTTTATGGTTAGAAAATAATAAATGTTGCGGTCTGCGGTCAGTTGGTCAGGTCAAAGTGAACGCAGTCCGTATCATGTGCAGTCAGCGGTAGGCACCCAAAGCATAGATCGTGTCATCAACTCGGACGCCCTTCAGGTTCAGAATGTCCAATTCCCAAAATGTCCAACGGTTTCAAAATGTCCAATTCCCGGAATGTCCAATTCCCAAAATGTCCAATTCCCAAAATGACCAATTCCCAAAATGTCCAATTCCTGAAATGACCAATTCCCAAAATGTCCAATTCCTGAAATGTCCAGTTCCGGAAACGTCCAATTCCCAAAATGTCCAATCTGCTATTATGATGGGTTTGTTAAAATAAGTCCTCATTCTTCCGTTAATGTTGAGTGTTATCGGTACACGCTAAATCAGTGTTTACTAAAACTACCTCCTTCTTATAAAGACATATTAATCCGAAATCTAATTGTGAAAATGTTGTATGGATTGAAGTATTCGGTCCCTACAAACATCTTTGCAACATTATAAAATGCATGAAAAAAAAAACGCGAACGGGCAGGGGGTCGCCAAAAATTTTTTCATACTTGGGGGGGTTGTGTTATGAAAAAGGTTGAAAAATACTGCGCTAAATGATCCATGAGTGCACACGCACACTACAGTAATGCCTTACGGCTTGCTCGGACCACACTCCCCGCACCCCGCGCGACCGAGACCAAACATCGGGCGCGGCCGAGTGGATGCAACAAACTATAGCCAAAAAGTTATCAATACGTCTTTGGTTGGACTCAACTTTTTGGTCACTAGGTGTCATGAACTACTTATTAACGCTGACTGTATCAATTTATTTTAGTCTAGGCGCAGACCAGCGATTTTTAGTTGGCCGATAGTTGAGCCCGATTCTAATTTGTGTGAAGAATCGGCCGATACCAAATCGGTGTAATGTGCGCACTTCCATACATCTCCATACTGACTGAAAGTCGGTGGTCTGCGCTCAGGCTTAAACATTTATTTTTCTAAATACATACTGTAAGATTGAACGTTTATTTGATTCCTAATAATGTGTAATGTTTGTTTATCGCCTAAGCCTGACAAAATTCATACTACTATTATAAAATAAAATAAATTTCAAGATTTGTATCGTGTTGTTTCTATGAAAACCTTCCCAAAAACATTACTCTTCTTTGTCTATAGTTGAGTAAAATCTGACAACAAATAATAGGATTTTAATTGAAAACAAATGACTATGTTCATAAATCATTTATTTTTGAGCATTTATAAATTCTATTCCTATTTCAGAACTAACAGAATGTATTACAGTTACAACAAATTAGACTTTCTTGGCAGTCGGGTAAAAAACTTTTATTTAAATTTTGTAGGAAATAGCGCCATCTAGTTAGCACTAAGCAGTTAAGGTTTAATAAAAGAATACATTTACGAAGTTTGTTGGCATCACACACTTATTATACTACTATAAATAACTAATTAATATTATACAAAAGACGGAGGTAAAGATATACAAGAGAAATATACAACACTAAAAATGTATAAAGGAAAAATAAGAAATACATAACTTAAAAGTAATTATGGCGCTGTTATTAATTTATTGACGTCACTTAAAATTAACTACACTTATATTTATATGAAAGTTATTTAAAAAAAAAGAAGCATTTACACGCTTCAAATTATACAAGGTTAGATGAAACAGAAGACAGCATAAAAAAAGATAAGTTAAGAGCGTTTACGCCGTTTGGCGCAAAAACAGTACTTTTTCAACCCGTTACAATCATTAAGCAGTTGGCATAAATAATTAGGCAATTTCGTCGTCTAAATAGTTAATTGAGAAAATATTTCGATTAGTATAGTATTTAAGAATTCTATCAAGATAAGTCCACACAGGTTTTCAAATTTCCACTTTAGCGTCAGTTTACAAGCTGAAATTTTTATAAAAATACTGTGAAAACGATGTAACAAACATTTATATCCTATAGCATAGGTCCTTAGGCAAATAGTTAGTTGAGAAAATTCTTAGATTTATGCATTTTACAATAAGAAATCACAAATTCAAACAACGTGAAATACCCAAAACTCAAAGTGATTTTTACACCATTATTATTCTTTAATTCAACAAAAAAATAGCTTAATACAATAAAATACCATCTTCTTTAAAATATTTACTTTGAAACGATATATAATTCATTGTTATTGTTTTGCTATAAACATTTGAAAACTATTAAAAAACGCCGCGCGCGAATCATTTCCAATGATGCCCCTTGAAACGCCGCGCTTCGCGTAAACGCTCTTAATTAAAGAAGAGAAATAGACACAAAGCAAGTAAAAACCTAAAACTAATAAAACTTATTGTTGACGACACAACCTTACATTATCTACACTTAAGAAGAGTTATTATTAAAAGAAACTTGGTTTATACAATTTACAAGCTACTAAATTATGACAGAGAATAAAGAAGTAAAAAAAATGAATAAAATATTCACACAAACAAGAAAAGTAAACATACAAACAAAATAAAAAGTTATTAAACAAAAGGAAACGGAAACAAGAAATACAAAACTTAAAACTACTCGATCCCGTCAAAAAGGTCGCGGTAAACTTCAGGGATTATTATAGGTTGAGTTAATATCACCAGGTCTTCAGTTAGAAACCTTTCTCGCTCAATATCGTCTAACACCGCCAGACAAGAACTTTTATATTCCGTCCCATGGCATTCAGCGATTTCCCTATACGTCAAGATTCCTCCTGTTTTACCTTTGTTCTTAATAACAGAGAGCAGTAACCTACCAAAGTCCCTGTTATTGTAACAATCACTCGCGTACTGCTCTAGGTATGATGTCACGTAGGAGACCACAGGCGGTGACAGGTCACTGCCGAGAAACAGAGCGTTGATAGTGACCAGATTATGGACGAACTGCTTTGATGAAAACTTCACTATCAGCAGCGCGTCCATAAGTAGGCCGCGTTTGTCCTCGGCAATGTTCACCACGAAGTCCTGCAGTACGCGCTTAGGTATTTTGACGTTCTTGACCAGGTGTCTAGCGAAGAGACGACGGAAATTAAGAGGCCTGGCGGTGTGAGCACGTTTGAGTAAGTCTATGGTTTCCCAGGAGTACTCAGCTCTTTCTAGGTAGTGCGGGAAGAATGATGTAAAAAATAAATTAATCACCTTCCCGCTGAGCAATTTCGCGGAGAACACCGCTCGACATAGCTCTCCAGCTGCTTTGTGGGAGAGATTTTTTCCCATGTCGACGAAAACGTTGTTGAAATAGGGACTTATGGCATCTCTCCACTCAAAATCGTCGGTCGTATCGGCCGGTTGTTTAGGCCTTACTATTACACCCGTAGCGACGGTGTATATGAGCTGAATTGTGCTCAGTATCAGGGACGGGTTCTCTTCATACGGCTGACATATGACTTTGGAATCTTCTGGACACTTTCGCCCTGTCTCGTCATCTTCTTGTTCGGGTGCTGGCTGCTTAGGACTCTTCCTGAACCAGACCTCTTCGCTCTGCAAGTAGTTCAGGCTCATAATCGAGTCGTTGACTTCGAGGTACCAATCACTGGGAGCTTCCATGAGCTCGATGAAGCTACGACGAGCTGCCTGACGCGCCATTTTCACAAATTCACAATTTATTACACGAAGAAACAGTCACTTTAAGTTTGCTTGGGGCAAACTTGGATTTCACTAGTTGTTAACTGTGTTGTATCTTGGATAGACACAAGTTGCAGCGGTGGCAACGAGAGGTGAGGTCGCGGAAAAAGTTGTAGGTAAGACTGGTAAGACGTGGGTGTATGCTGGCGCGGACACGAGCGTACTAACTTGCCAGTTGCCTGAGTAAGAAATAAAAACGATAGTTGCTACACCAACCTCTGTCAGGTATAATCTTTCATTTGTTTAAGGGTCATAAAGACGCCTCTAAAATTATGGTATTTTTAAACAAAGGAAAGTACCTAGGTAGGTACCATTTTTTTGTAAATCTACCTTCTGATAAGCCCTCCCTTTTGTTTCCGGGCCTTATAGATGATTTCTTTTGTTCAGAGATGAATATTTTTGTTTTTAAACAAAAGAAAATACCATTTTAAATTTTGTTAAAAATGCTGCACGTGCAAATTCCGGTTTTGCTATTTATAAATTTATCAACAAAAGAGCAATTTTGGTACCTAAACTCTGTTGTTGTAGAATGCAATATTCACTGTTTAATTTTTTATAATAGGTCTCTGCAAAACTTGCTTTATAAAAGTTAAGACGGGTCTCCCTTACATACAGGGACTTAGGTACTTACATACCTATATCCTCTTAATTTTTTTTATTATTTTGTAATTTATTACGTGGTATATTTTTTTCGTTAAAGGTAGGTAATTATCTACCTATACAGGGTGTTAGGTAAATGGGTATATGAGCCGACACTAGCCCATGTTAACATGGTCATATAAATGGTATGGTGAAGTCAGAAATTTGATAATTATCATCCTAATATTATTTTTTTTCATTTTCATACAAAATAAATTTTATAAAATCCGTAATTTGTATGAAAATTAAAATAATTAAAATGAAGATATCAATTTTCTGACTCCACCATACCATTTATATGACCATGTTAACATGGGCTAGTGTCGGCTCATATACCCATTTACCTAACACCCTGTATACATACTTAATTAAGCGAAATTAAATTCAATCCAGAGTAGTTAGTCTAAAATCAGTCACTTCTGTACCTTTAATTAGGTAGGTACTATAAATAAATACTGAGTAGGAATGATAAGATATACAGGGTGGAATTTTGTAATGCCACCTGGAGGGAAAGTACTCTTAATCCTTCAAGCTCCGCGAATCTAGACACAATAGATAATCAATTGTTATGACATTAATTAATGCCGTCTGGGACTCAATCGGTTAATACTGTAGATAGAAAATTAAAAAAAAGAAAACATTCCTTTATTTTTGAAAAGAAAGAGAACTGCATTCAATAATTTTCGATTTTTTTTTTCGAAAATTCACTACCATTCCATACAATTTTCTGTAACATAATTAAATAACCCATGATTTCATGGTTTTCTTTTTATTTGATTTATCAAGTTTGTTAGAGAGATTTCATCCTTATGCAACCCTAACGATCGATGTAATAAAAATACAGGGTGTAATTTTTTAGTTCGTTCGATTCGGGTCGGACACCTAACGATGCAAGTCCAAATTTATTAAGCCTACTAAAGAAAATCATAAACACACTCCCAACCAAACATGACCATCCTTTTGGCGCAGTCGGGTAAAAAAGGATGATTTTGAGGTGAAAAAACATGCTTCGTAAATGCTCAATCTAATCGAAACTTGATTGACGTTTTTTGTCAAATGCCAACCAAACAAAACATAACCCCAAAAATGAGACGTATTTACGAATAAAAGATCAATTTTGTAAATAAAATTGTGTGAAACTATTGCTAAAATCATGGAGGAAACACTGGCATGCCGTCTGTGTTTATCAACAAGCGTTAAACTGTACGATATGTTCAATTATCGTCTAAATTCAGCCTACGAGACCCTAACTGGAGTAGAGGTATATATTTCCTAATTAATTTAAATTTTAAAGTGTTTAGACGTTTAATAATTACATCAAATACATAATAAAAGTACGTATGCGTTAATGAACGCTACTTATTTGATGTAAACCAACATAATATTTTGTTACGTGTTAGTCATCAATTTTTTTATCAAAACAAACTAATAAACATAGATAACGGACTGAGTTTCTGTTCCTATATTTAACAACTTTGAGGCAATATATAGACTAGCTTCAATATTACAGATTGCAGTACTAAATACCAAAACTATTGATTCAAAGATTAATAACATTGATACATGGCTGGCTGCTAACTAATTTATACCATCAAATCTAATCTTTATTTTGCTGAGTACTCTGATTTATGATAGCAAACATGAGTGTAAAATAAAAAAGTGGTTTTCCTATTACCTTCTTTCCATTTCACTAAAAGAAGTCATTTAAACTAGTGGCTCAGTAGTTAACTACGGAAATAAAGCCTCAAGAGGCATGACATCCTAAATCCGAGGTGGAATTGTGTAAAGCAATCGTAATCATTTGACAGTTCATAACATATGATAAAATCCGCTAAACAGTGTTTGACAGAATAATCGTACGTTATGAACTGTCAAATGATAACAATGCTTTACACAATTCCACCTCTGATTATGATAGCAAACATGAGTGGTTGGTTGGTTTATTTCTTTATGAAATTAAAAATCCTTTTTTTGTTTTGAGCAAAAGTTGACATTGAGGGCTTACGTAACCCACATCTATGGTACCTTAATTACAAAAAAATTAATCCAATTAATAATCTGTCATGTTTGATGCATCTGCATTATTGTATAGGTACTGTAGCAATATAAAATTGTACTGTAGTGCATTTTTTTTTGTGTAGTTACACATTATTTAGCAGATGCAGTGCTTTTCTTTAAGTGATGGGGCACTTATACATATAATTTTGGTTATGCATTTTAAATTTTAATAGTGTACTCATTGTTGAAAATCCAAAATAAATAAATAAAAATTTACTAAATTTTAACCAGAATTTTGTCATTTACGATATAATTAAAACAAATGCCTACTTTCTAGATGAGCGCCTCAGACGGACTGCCACCATACTCCTGCGGTGTGTGTAGCTCACTGTTAGTCAAGAGTGCGACCTTTAAGCGCATGTGCCACAACTCTTACAACCTGCTCAACATTGCCAAGTTACAGCAAGTGGTAAGTGTAATTATTTCGTGGTTATTCACATTGATGATGCCAATATCTTTTTACATATTAATGTTTGCCTTGTGAACCAATGATTTCTATGACAGAAGCTTAGAAAGAAAGAACAATGTTTATTTGGCACAAAATTACTTGCACTTAAATAAATAAATAAATAAAATGTTGTTTTCCTAACTCATGAGCCCTCCTCCCGTGACATGGCATATCAGGGGCATTCAGGGGCCAAGCCCCCCCTTCCCTATAAAAGAACCCTAGAAACTCCAATAGAAGTAGGAAATGTGAAAGAACCTTTAATGCTACCAATTATTTTTTATGTTATTTCTTTGGTAAACTAATACAGTTAACTTGTTAGATAAAAACTTGTCAATTGGGTCTACTAATTAAATGTATCTAATTAACATTTTATTTCAGTTATCAACAGATTACATAAAAAGCCTAAAGATCACGCCTCTTTTCTCATTCACAATCAAAAACACAGACATTATATCCATCGGTGTCGAGACTGATGAAGTTGTCAAGAAAGAAGAGGATTGGGAGGTCCAAATCGACCACAAAGTGAAAACAGAATCTAGAGAATCATCCATAGACTCGGATCGTGACGAACCAATAAGCGAACTGTTTAAACGTACAAGAATACTCGTCGAAAGTCTCCCACGAAAGGTAACAAGAAGCAAAACAGAGAAAACTCAGCGTGCCAAAAAAACTGTTTTGGAAAAGACGAAGAAAGTCATAAAAGAAAAACCGTCGATGAAAGGTGTGAAAGAGAAAAAAGAGAGCAAAGTGAAGAAAGAAAAGGTTAAAAAGCAAAAAGAGAAAGAGACAGGCTATGAGTTCCCGGAAGGTGAAGTGGAGGTATTGATGTTAAGTAAAGAAGAGCAGTTAGAAGAAATTCATGCAAGAAAATCTTCAGTGAATTACTTGAGTTCGTTCTATAAGTGTGAGCTGTGTTTCAAAGGCTTCATTTCAGAGACCACGTACAAAAATCATATGGTTAGACATGACCCTGTAAGTATTATCTTTGTTGTATTTTATAAATTATGTATACTGAAGATAGCTGCCCAATTTACGAATTTCAGAAATCACAATATTAGCTAATGAGAAAGAATAAATATTTGCCTGGCACCAGAAATAAACTATGGACGTGCGTAAAGGTTCGATCAAATCAACGCGTGCAGGCGATGACGATCAGTAGAAATCAGAATCACACGTGGGCTGCAGACGTAGGTTTGGTGGAACCTAACAAATATCTGAATGGAAAAAAAGTTTTTAAACTTGCGAGAGAGACGCGCGTTTTAATTTAAATGACGACTAAATATGACGTCTAACATTTCGTAATTCTTATCAAGAAAAGCACAGATTGATTTGATGAAAATATCTATCAAGTTACACATTTTTTAATGTAAAAAAATATTAGTGATTTCACTTCACCTGCGTGAAATTTAGTTTGTCACATAATATGGTCATAAATTATAGCCTATATTTTATTCTGGGTTATAAACTATTGAAATAATAAAAACATTATAAAGTTTTATCAAAATCCGTTCTTTATCTTTTTTAACGATATTATGTTTCAGAGCAGTGGCGCCCTCTCGTGCGAGATATGTCACATCCGAGTGGCGAACAACAAATTATTACGCTCCCATATGATCCAACTACATGAAAGAAAATATGTTTGCAAGCTATGCAACAACGTCTCCAAGTCTAAGTGAGTATTGTTCCATCATCATCATCATTATTAGCACATCATTGCATGCCATTTATTATAGCTGGAAAAGCTGAACTTAATGATACTATAACAACCTAAATGTACTCTTATAAATCATCATTTATCATTATCAGACTGTTCATTTTTATTGCATAATCGCAAATCACAACTGAATGATGTCCAATGCTTGATTTGCTGTCGTCCTCAATTTACATATTGTACAGCGCCCCTAGCGGTAACTTTCAAGAGCTAAAATTGTCATAGATTTTTATGTTTTTACTCATTGTAAAACTACAGGTCATTTAATCTCCACTGCCCTCTAATTTACTACATGCAAATGGAGGATTTGTCCTCTCTCCATCCTGGCCAGACATATGACAGACAGGACCCTAAACACAAAATAAGTGGGGGACGCACATTCTTTTAAAATCACTTGGAAGCGGACATTTTTTGGTGAATAGATGACATGATTTTACAAGTCTTTTATAACATGCAATAATTCGTTATTGCTCAAAACGTACAACTTAAATTAAAAAAATTAAAAACCAAAAATTAGTTTATTTATAATTTCTCTGGATCTACAAAGCTTTAGAATGTGATGTATAGCTCAAAAAAGGGAACTTTATTACTCACATAAGTCAATTGTGTTACAACTTCAACAAAAGAACAGATAAACAGAAAATCGTATTTTAACACACACAAAATAAGCCAAATTAAAATATATTTTTTCTCGAAAGCTGTTGAAGATAGACCACGGGTTTCTTTTAGGAATTTACTTAGATTTACTTGTAAAATCATGTCATCTATTCACCAAAAAATGTCCGCTTCCAAGTGATTTTAAAAGACTGTGGGACGGCGTAATTACTTTTTATCCGTTTTAAAGTTTCAGCAGTGTGGTTCCCGATGATTAGAATAGGACCTCTCTTCTTGTGGATGTCGTAAGAGGCGACTAACAAGGGACAAATATGCGAACGTCAGGCCTCCCCAACCCGTCTGGCCAGCGTGGGGAGTGTAGGACCAATCCTCCATTCCTCTGGTGAATTAGACAGGGAGACCAAATGACCTGATGATGATCATAAAATCATTATTTGTATGACGTCATTTACATTTATAACGTTATTTACAGACACTCAGCTTCTGAGCACTCAAAATGGCACAGCGGTCAAAAATTCACATGCAAATTCTGCGATGCTGTATTTTCGTGAGTCTTATTTCTATGTTAATAAAGCTTAAAATACTTTGTCTAAAATAGGGTGATAATTTTGACAGATCACGCGCCCGTGAAGTTTCGTATTTTTTTCTGGTAAAAATTTCTACTGGACATGTTAAACTTCATAAACAGGCATCGCCTGTAGTTGTTCAACGAACCGTCTCAGCTGTGACATTGACAGGAGGGCGCCATTATCAATACTGGATTATTAGTTCCGATTTTTGCCACCTTATCAGGTGGCTTTGAAATGTCTTTCAGAATGGACAATTTGACACCATTCTCCAATAATATGAAATCACAACTTTTCTAAAAAGACACTTCATTCTGGTCTTAAAAACTTCATTTATTTTAAATTACAAAATCTATGGGAGAGTTTCGTTTTGTCAGTTTAAAAAAGTACGTCAATTGATTGGTGATGTCAACATGTCTATTATTTGACTACTTATAAAAGTATGTCAATTGACTAGGGTGTTTATTTCAGCCTTATTCACTTACAATATGGTCGAAAACCAATTAAAAAATGCAACATTATGTGACCTATACAGGGTGACTATAATATAGGTAATAATAATTAATTATGTGTTTCACTTTCAGCAAAAAGACAAGTCATCTGTCCCACATGCGAATCCACCACCCGTCGGAACATGTCAATTGCGATGTTTGTGGGGAAGCTTTCATAGGTAGGTAAATATTAATATCATCATCATCATCCATAGGACGTCCACTGCTGAACATATTGATCGATTGGTAGCGGCCTGCGTCCAGCGCTTCCCTGCTACCTTTATGATGTCGTCAGTCGAGACAATTAATTACCTGTGTTCTTTTTATAACATTGACCTCATTTTAAGCCTTGTTACTGTTCTTTTTTTTTTTGATACCACGTTTTATTTTTTTATATTTTAACTACAGTAATAAATTGCCTGATCTTGTGTTCCCAGACCTCAAAGTAAATATAATATTTATGTGAAAACTTAAAAAGGCTACTGCGACACGCTATGCTTAGTGCAGAAGCCGCTAGTTATGAGAATATTCTGTATTAGATGTATTGGCAATAAACATTTTTTTATTATTTATTTATTTTGTAAATAATTATGTTCTTAATATTTATTTCTAGGAGAACATGGGTTGCGGATGCATAAGAAAAAGGCACACAAAAATATGGACACGGTAAGTAAATTTATGCCCGTTTTCACCATCAATCCCTAATCCTTAAGTGACCCCAATGAAAACAAAATTCCTGTTATGTTACTCACTTATGGGTCACTTAAAAATTTGGGATTGATGTAACTAATACAGGGTGATGTTTAAATAGTTAAGAATGGTTCTAGGTACATTTGATTATTAACAACTTTTGCTATGACTGTATGATAGATATTTCTTTCTTGCCACGGGATCAATGATACAGTCAGCGTCAAATAGTTCGCGACACCCAAAGTAGCCAAAAAGTTCGCAACACGTCTTTGTTACAATGAGAGTTTTCGCGAATGAAAGGTCCGCTAGATGGCGGGACGTGGATGTGGGGTCTGACTGCTGCGTCATGCGTGATTGGTGGATTTTGACATATCTGTCAATCTCATGTCAAAAATAACCAATCATGCAGCATTTGGACCTCGCGTCTACGTATTGCCATCTGGCGGATTTTTCAATCGCGAAAACCCTCATTGGAATAAGGTTGTGTTGTCGTGTTGTCAACTTTTTGGCCACTTTGGGTGTCGCGAACTATTTGAAGCTGACTGTATTACTTATACGAGTATAATGCCCGTTTTCACCATCAATCCCTATTTTTTAAGTGACCCCTGTGGTAACAAATAACAGGAATTTTGTTTACATAGGGGTCACTTAAAAATTAGGGATTGATGGTGAAAACGGGCATAAGTGATTTAAAAAAAACTTAAATAAAGAAGCTTTTATAATATTTATAAAAATACTATCTTTCCGCCCGCGGCTTCGCCCGCGTTGAATTTTGCCTGTCACAGAAAAACTTTATCGCGCGCGTCCCTGTCTCAAAAACCGGGATAAAAACTATCCTATGTCCTTTCCCGGGACTCAAACTATAAATCGGTTCAGTGGTTTAGGCGTGAAAGCGAGACAGACAGACAGAGTTACTCTCGCATTTATAATATTAGTATAGACAATGTATTTCTTTTCAGAAAACAGAACCGGAATCAGAAACCAGATGTACAAACTGCAAAGTGCAGTTCCAGAATGCAGACGCGTTCAAACGACACACTAACAACGCTAACGGACAGTGCGATGTCAATTTCAGGTAAATATTTTAATTAAAGCCTATATGTCATTCTGGTGTATAAACAATAATACTGTATTCGTTTTTCATCAAAATCCGTTCAGTCATTTTTGCGTGAAAGACAAACAAACATACATTCATGGATGTACAACTTTCGCATATTACAGACAGAAACACCAAATCGATTTGTTCCTAAAAATGTTCACACCTTTTATGACCTGTCAAAACGTCATTCAGACATTTTGTGGCGGTTCCAAATGACGTCACTTTTTCGTAATAGGCTAGATGACAAAATTTCAATTATTTTTCAGATAATTAAAACGTATTTTTTTTTATAATCATAATTAAATAATAATATTAACAGTGCTACTAGAGATGGGTTTGTAGCCAGCTAGTTTGGATAATAACTGATTATTATCTATTAATAGCCATTATTAGCCATCCATTGGCTAGTAACCCTGCTATTAATAGTTTCTTACGTTTTTTCTTCCACCTTTAAAATCAAATCAATATTAAAATCAAATATTACTCAAAGAAACAAAAAAGAACTAAAAAACATCAATGTAATTTATATAAACGACATTGTAGTTAAAAAAGAATCTAAATATATAAAAGGAGAAACTGACTGACTTAGTGACAGATCAACGCACAGCCTAAACGGCTAAACGTAGGCACTTGAAATTTGGAAGGGACGTAGCTTAAATACCGTAGAGGTGCACTAAGAAAGGAATTACCAAAATTCCCAATGGAACGGGAATTAGCGGGAAAATCCTTTTGTATGAAAAATCTAAACCACTTAAGTTAGACGCTTGAAATTTGGGTTCGCAACTGTACTGACGAAACCTCGATATTATACCGTTCATTTAAGATGGCAAGCTTTTTGCTGCGGTAATGCACTCCAGGTAACCGTGTGTGATGCTTATTGCTCATAGTGATTTTCGATACAGAGCCCCGTACATACGTTATACATAAATTATGGAAAGCAAACACCCAGACCAATACAAACAAATATGTATGCAATTTTAGTATGATATTTTTATTTATTAATAAACAAAAAGACTGAACAAAATCGATGCGTGTACTGATTAATGTAATTAACCATATGCAAAGCTTTGTGAATTACAACAACTATAATTTATTATCCAAGCTCTAAATAATCGCTACTACGAGTAACTGATCATAAAATGTTTTTCCAATCGCTCAATCTCCCGAGGATCTACCGATAGGTCGGGTGACGTAATCTTGAAATTCTTTTAGCCGGCGCGGAACTTCCGGAAGGTCGGGTGACGCCACGCCTCTTTGAACCGTGTTTACTTTGTCAGTTATATTCTATATTTATTCGATTCTAAAAATATATTCCCAAAAATTTTGAAAGTTGTTTTAATTTGTATCACTTGGATATGATTTGTATTAGAAAGTGCTGTGAGTGTGACGCTTGAACGGAAGGAAGTCAACCTAACCTAACCAACTGCGTATTTCCAAACTGCGTATTTCTATACTGTGTAGCCGCGAGAGCTCTTTGGCGCGCTGTCTTCGGCGAAGTATTGCGCGCGCAGATTTTGACAGCGCGAAATACCTACTTTAGCAGAAATACCAAGCCTTTTGTAACGTTGGAGACAATAATTATAATTTACCTAGTACATAAAATTTATAAAATTTTAAAAGTTATTTAAAAACATGGGTAAAATTTAAAAATACGATTATTTAATAAATTAAAAAATTAATGGATTATTGAATAATTTTTAAAACTGTAAAAATTTAAAATATTGTTTTATTTCCTATTCGCGCTCCGGTGAACATCCAACCAATGTGGGAGGAATGGACTTTTATACAGGTCATTGCTGACTACAGTTAGCAGCTCGTTAAGTGAGTCACGAATCCTCTGCCAGAAAGAAGCTATGCGTTCTCTCAACAGGGCAAAGAAATCCGGAACGCCGGCCTCCGCGAACATAGCAGATGCACTGCAACATCTCGGCAATCGCATCATAATACGAAAAGCATTATTGTACTGTACCCAAAGGGTGCCGTAGGACTTTCTCTTGTACTTGCGCCACAGCTGACAGGTGTAAAAACATGTAGGGGAACCNACAAAATGCTTTAAAGAGAGTCACCTTGACATCCCTCGAGCACTTCGCGAACCTGCGCGCCAACATGTTGCAGCGCACGGCCAGCGCCCGGCGCTCCCGCTCCATGTCGGCGTCGTCGTCCAGGTGCTCGGTGAGGACGTGACCCAGATAGCGAAACTGCTTCACAACCTGAACCGGCGAGCCATTCAAATACACCGGCGGGACCCTCTCCGGACCCTTGCCAGCGCGAAAAATCATTAATTCTGATTTTTTCACATTGTATTTCATGCCGTGTGTGGAGGCGAACCTTTCACAGACGGCAAGAAGTTTACGCAGGCCACCTATTGAGGGGCTGAGAAGCACCATGTCGTCGGCATAGCTGAGGTTGTTGAAACAAACACCCTGCACATGACAACCGAGTCCGGTGCCTCTCAGCTCCTCAATCAGGTCATTTACGAATAAGTTAAACAGGTCCGGCGAGGTAAGTCCACCTTGACGAACGCCGCACTTTAGTCTATAGGCACTAGAGTGCGCGTCGCCCCATCTCACACAGTTAGTTTGGTTCCCGTACCAGTACCTGAACAGGTCCACTATACGTTTAGGCACGTGCGATTGTTGCATTTTTGACCACAATAAATTATAATTTACCAGGTCGAAAGCGCGGCTTAAGTCGAGAAAGCATGCGTATACTGAGGTATCACGGGTGTTATAATNATTGCCTGCTAGATGCTTCTTTGATCATTGGTTTGTAACCAAATTAATATGTTTTCTTTGGTATAGCATTTACTATTAAATAAAGACAAACTGATGTGAGTTCAGGAATAAAAACCGCGAAAGATGGCACCAGAAATTCCTGAAAATACAGGGTGGCCCAGAAGAAAGTTCACTTTTGAAAAGTCAAGGAAACGAAAACTGTACAGTTTTTTAGAACTTTAACTATTGCAATTTAAAGGAAATTCTTCTGGGCCAGCCTGTATAAGAAAACATTGATTTGATTTGATAGATTTTTCAAATATTCAACTTTATTATGCGCTTTTTACTAATAAAAGCCTATTTGCAGAAAACAATTACTTTAAAATCGTTCATCGGTTAAATGCACTATTTAATATTCCTAAAGTTTCGATAGAATTGATTTGAATAGGTACAATTAATATAAATAGTAATGGATGATTGACTTAGAAAACTACACTAACTAAATTATCGTTAAACCAAAATTTGCGGCCTGGGTAAACCTAGAACTAACTGAATTAACTGTGGTATTTTAACAGTGTGTACACGAGGGAACTTATTATAGCAGTTTGAATAGTTACAGATTGGAATAATTGTATTGATCTATGACTAAAGTCATTAAATATTAAAACAGACGATTTACAATCTAAGACATGAGTCGGCAAACTTTTGAGATTGTGTCAAGCTTTAATATAAGCTGGATTCATACACTCGCCAATGGGCGAATGACAAATTGACGAGCGAGGCTCAATCGGACCGATGATTAACTAACGGACTTAATTAATTAACCGTGTGATTAAAACCTTCAATGAGAACATTTACACGAAGCCATTTTTAAATTTGTACTTTCTTATTAACTAGTTTTATTTGAGAATTGAGAGAGAAATCTCTCTCAAGAGAGTTCAAGTCCAACGAGACTATGAATCATACTATGAAATTAATTATAACTTTTCCACATAAAAATAAAATAAATAAAATTCATCGAAAAAAGAACTCTTGATGCTCGGTTTCTACGACTCCATCTTATACCTATTATGTATTCTGTGCTTATACTTTCTTTTGGGTAATTTAACACGTTCAACGACCCGATCGGAATTTAATTTAGTGAAATTGAACACGAGATCACCAATAAACACGCCATGTTGTAAACAAAAATTTAACGTCGTTTATCCTACAGGCTAAGAGATTTTCATTCGAGTTGAAATCATGAGAACGATTATCAAGTGGGCTAATTTTGTGAACACTTCTTGGTAATCAATTGATAACGATTAACGATACGATGGTAGGTAATGTAGCCGTAAATATTTATAGAAGAAGTTAATTACTTATTTATAGAAGTAATTAATAAGGTAGAAATGTTTAATACGAAATCAGCCGTTTTGTAAGGATAATTTTAAGATAAGACAAAATAAATGAAGTAGGACAAACATCTTTGATTTTTTTGCGAATGTTACCCCTACCTTTAATTTCCGAGTCAGTTTCTGTGTCTGTGTCTAATAGGTATATGACAAAATTTTGAAAATGATCTCAATGATTCAATTTGACCTTCGACCATATTGTTAGTTGTAAAATAATTTGCAGCTGTAATCCCAACTAATATTATAAATGCGAAAGTAACTCTGTCTGTCTGTCTGTCTGTCTGTCTGTCTGTCTGTTACGCTTTCCCGCTTAAACCTCGCAACCGATTTTGATGAAATTTGGCATAGAGATAGTTTGAGTCCCGGGAAAGAACATAGGATAGTTTTTATCCCGGTTTTTGAAACAGGGACGCGCGCGATAAAGTTTTTCTGTGACAGACAAAATTCCACGCGGGCGAAGCCGCGGGCGGAAAGCTAGTTATGTTAATAACTGTTTTTGTCACAACACTTTCTACGTTATTTATTCAAGTGCTCTATCACTTAATAAATTACATATTTATTTTATTTTTACTTTGATTACTTATTACTTACTTAAATTGACGCACTCAATTTTGAAATAAAGTTTTAGTTGAAAAGCAACAGGAAGAAATAAGTTAGGTAAGATTTACTTAAGTACCTAAGTAATTCCCTGAATCATACTTTATGGTCTTGTAATTTAATCAACAGAAAAGCTACGAGTATTGCTTTAAATAAATGAGATTGGGCGTTTTGTTTTGTGCCAATATTGGGCTACCAACGTTGGACGTATTGTTTGGAGTTGAAGACCAATAAAACCAATTCCGCTGAAATTACACTCGAGTGCTAAGAGCTGTCCAACTAACAACAACATAACATGAGTGATTTGCGCAAATATTGGTTGTTTGAGAGCATTATATTTGTTACAATGTTTTTTTTCCTGTTTTATTGAACGTTTGTGTTTTTGTATGGCATTGCTGTAAGTAAGAAGTTATGTTAACTACAACAGATAAATGAATTGCTGTTTTTCCACTGTATCTTCTACAGTTTGACCGCCAATAAAAACCTAACCAGTGAAGACCAAGTTTGTCCCGGGGGAAAGATAAACTGTCATTGGACCCGCAACGAAATTAATCAAGAGGAAATAGGAGTTTGAAAGGATCGACTTTCAGTGCAAAGCGGGTGACTGGTGACAAACAAAGATACTTACCTACTTGCGCTCGTGTTCACAAACATTACTATGAGGTCTCACACTGTGAGACTCACCCTGTGCGTGGACGCACAGGGTGACATACGAATCAATCACAGAGCTCTATTTAACGCTGTGCGTTTAATTTGCTGCTTCACTTAAGCAAGCATCGTTTGTGAAATATAGGCGTTTACGATATAATCTTTAAAATATTTATACCATACCTATCTATTGTGGCTACCACGTGAGCTACTTGCCATTAATATTTAGTGTGCTAGTACTATAATACTACATATTTTGAACTTTTTGAAAATCTGTTTTTGTGAATAAAGCGAAACTTCAACTGAACAGCCGTTTGCGGTCAAAACTTTACTACTTAAGCATAAATTGAAAACACGGGGAGTATTGTACCGCATTTTCTTTCAGTTTAATGCTCTAAAGAGTTTTGCAAACAAAACTTTAATTCTTGGACATTGTGGCATCTGTTTCAAGTTTTCAAACTTCTTTAATATTTTTGCGATTTTCCCAAACGCAATTCGTATCTGAGTATTCGAGATTTTGTAAGTTTTTATGTTATGAATAAATGAAACAGGAATTTTTTAAGTTGTCGCAAGTTTAAATCCCTACGGATGTTGTCCTAACAGAATAAGCTCTAACCGCACCTTTTTAGTAAGTTTTACAACTCCTCATGGACATTCGTTTAAAAGTACTTATGAAAACGTGCCGAGAAATGTAAACAGTACCTAAATGAAAAACATTTGAGACTCTCATTTTTACTACGTTTCTACGTGCTAGTATTTGTTCAGATTTTTTCTACAATGTGTGAAGTTATCACTGATGAAGGTAGAAAACGGAACTATTCCCACCTCTCGTTCCGACCTCTGCAACTCCTGTGAAGGCAGTATCTACAGCTTGACCGCCATAAAAACCCAACCAATGAAGGTCAAGTTAGTCCCGGGGGAAAGTTGAACTTTCATTGGACTCGTTGAAGGTAGAAATAAAATCTACGAAAAGTTTATCATAAATGTCTTTTATACTTACCTATCTATTTTAGTTATGTATAATAGGTAAACAACCAAGTATGTCGCTGAATTTCAGAGGGCGATTACATAAATATAACATTCTGTAAAAAGTTAAGCCCACAAGTTTCGTTATTTATAGTGGAGAGGTGTTCTTTAATCGCATTTGTTGTTGGTTTATACGAGCGGCAAAAAGTTCCATCCAACAAGATGGATGGCGGTTAGTGTTGCGTTTTTCTCAAAAACGCGATGTCCATTAACAGCAAGCCGGATTGGGACGAATGAATCGGGACGTGAAATGATCCTTCATACGTTAACAATCCCATACCTAATAATTAAAAATTACAAATTAACTACACTGAGATTAAAGAACTTTAAAAACGTCCTTAAAGCTGATGCTTCATATAATCTTCAACTTTCAATTTAGCCTAAAGCCTTTTGTATCATGTACTTATGTTGAGGAATGAATAAAATTGCTGACGAAAAACCGACATTTTCAGCGTCCCGCGAATGGTGATTTAACACGAGACTTCCCGCCGATAGCGGGACATCTGCCAGCCCTAAGGGCAGCGGAAATAGGTTCTGCTACATCTGGAAAATTCCAAGGCCCGAGCGTCTTCATTTTATAATAGAATGGGGCATATTTTAGTAGTAAATAATTTCTATATAGTGTTCAAAAGTTATAATTTAGGAATGGGCCGATCTTTTTCATTTTAACCGAAAGTTCGGATTCGATTCAAACCACATTTGGCCCATCTCTATAAGTAGACGTTATTTTCATAATGACCTTAGTTACCGAAACAGATACAAAAATGTGTTAAACTTATTCTCCAATGCACAAGTAGGTACCAAATACTTAACGTAGGTAGCCATATTGGAACAATTTAAAACGGTTATTTTAAAAAGCATTATAATGGTAAATTGGAACTCGAGGCGAAAGAAACATTCGTTTAAAAACCCGTACCGAAATGTATTTGAAAAATAGTGAAAACGCTTCAGCGTTTTCGTTTTAAAACCGACTCTCTGCAGCTACTGCGAAATGATTGGCGTAGATTTTATTTCTGTTTTTTAACATACATTGCCCGAGGCTAGCAACTGTTTAAACTGAAAGCAGCCAAGCGCGAGTCTGACACTATAAAGGTTCCAATTTCCATATTATGTCTATGGTGACATAAATGGATAAGGACAGGTACAAAGACAAATATTTATGCCTGTTTCATATTTTTAGGCCAAATCCTACATTTCAACCGGTAAATTAGCTGGTAAATCGTGCTTCTGTAGTGAAGACTTTATGAAATGAATGATGATGAT